AAAAGACTACAGAAATTCCACTCTCCTCAGAGTTCCTCTTAGATCTCATTGGCCAAATCTGGAGCACATGGCCACATAGCTGAAAGAGAGGATGGGGAAGCTGAAATAACATTGTCATGTGTGTGTGGAAAAATCTTGATCCGTTACCCTGGCTGGGGGGGACTTGATTGTCCTGAATAAAACTGGAATTCTGTCAGCAAAGAAGAGAAGAAGTTGGGTAAGCAACAAGAATTTGCTTTATCCCCTGCAGTGGCGGCGTTGGTTGCATTCCTGACCTGTCCAATGGCAGAGGAAGGAGTTTTAAGGTCTGCATTGTTCCTCAGAGTCATCCCTTTAATAAACTGTTATGGAGTAGAGCTATTTTCCTGCATGGTGCTGGGCACTAGATTCTGGGAGAAACTGTCAATTCAGCAGAACTGAAATAGTGCATGTAGACAGTGCCTGGCAAATTGCAAATATTTGTTTCATAATGAGTGAACAAAGCAACTCTGATGCGATAATTATATAAAGCAATGCAAAAACATTGTAGTATGAACTGACTATTTTCCCCCTTTTTCTTTTAAGAAATAACCCTACATTCTCTATCCTAGTCTATCATTTGCCAGAATCTAGAGCAGTAGTGTCCCTCAGAACTTTCTACAAAGACAAAAATGTCCTATATTTTGCACTGTCCAATATGGTAGCCACTAACCACATGTGGCTATTGAGCACACGAAATGCGGCAAGTGCAATTGAGAAAGTGTATTTTAAACTTTTACTTAGTTTTTAATTAATAAAATTTAAATTTAAGTAGCCACACCTGGCTAGTGGCTACTTGCTACTGAATCAGACAGTGCAGTTTAAATGGCTTGAGTGTTATTAGTTCTGTAAATAGAATAAGTAATATTAGTAAGAATAAGAATCTGATGTGAGTCCATTTCCTTCACTTTCATTGTTATTGGGGCAATCTGAGATCACCTTACATCTTTCCTCTAATAATCTCAACATACATGCATGACTGCTTTTCAAATGAAATTATCTTATCAAATTTTTCAAGCTTAGAATTGATTACTTACAGATGACAAAAGTAGGTAACTAAGACCTGGTAAGAAACATGAATCTGGCTTATGCATTATTTACATGAAATTGTAATTGTTTTTATATGATTATATCGGATTCCAGTACAGCTGTTAGTCCCCGTGTGGGAAAGATTATTTTCCATTTGCACTAATCATATACACCGATTCTCCATCAACATTGCTAAGTTCCTCCTGAATAATGCTTGCTCTCACCCTATACATTTGGTACTTAACTACTTATTACTCTGTAAAATTTATTGAATAGCTGTTTGCATTGCCATCTAAATATTGTTTGTTTTTTTTTCCCTCTAAATGTAGGGCTACCTCATCTCCCCAATTTTTGATCCTAAGCTTCCTGTGGGCAAGATACATTTCAGATTTGGTTGGAAAAAAACCATGGACCTGGAATCAGGTTATGGAAATTTGGATAATCTTTTTGAGCCTCAGATTTTTTTTATTTGTGAAATAGGAATAATAAGTACTGATTTCACAGAGTTCTTGTGGGCATCAAATAGTGCATGTGAAGTACTTAGTAAATGCCAAAGCACTACATTACCCCTACATACTCTATTTCTTTGTGTCCTTCACAGCCAAACCACAGTAAGAGCTAACTGAATATTCATTGAATGAATGATGAACCGATGTAGAAGACAGAAAAATTATAGTTTTCAATGATTTTTTTTTAAACCCGCAACTATCTGAGGTGGCCAGGGCCACTCATGTGCATGGGTCCTGTGGTTTCTTTACCAATTTCATGGTCTCTATCACTGATGAGCTGATCACAAGCCTGGGGGATCTTCTAAAGGGTGTGTCGGGTAGATTACCCACAAGCTGCAGAAGACCTACCTTCCTTAAGTGGTTTAAGCAATAATAGGCTTATGACATCCATCACTAGAACTCCATAGAGGGGGACAGGCCCAGCTTAGCTTACCATAGTGGCACTGTGATGGCATCAAGGACCTGGGTGTTTTCCTTCTTTCTGTTTGGCAGCTTAGCACCCATGGTGTATGGCCAGGGTCTTCTCCCCTGGCCCCCAGGTATTATAGCAGCTCCAGGTATCATGTGCAGGTATCAAGATGTCCAGCAAAGGAAAGAAGTATGTCCTCTTATGCAACTTTTTACTTTTAACTAATGAGGAAAGGCTTTTCCAGACTTTCCACAGCAGACTTACCCTCAGGTAAGGACTGGGTCAAGGTGCCAATGCCTAAGCCAGTTACTGGCAGAGAGAAGACTATTGTGATCACCTCTGATTGATGTTTCATGCCCCAGAGCTGCAGAGTAAACACCAGAAGGGGTAGGGGGTGAGACTGACTATTGGGTAGACAATGCAGTGTCTGCCACAGAAACGACACCCATTATTCTTTGCTAGCCATGCTGAAACTTGACCTTATACTGATGGGGCTCCAGGGGGACCTCAGACATGGGAAAGCAGCTCTTACCTTTATCCAGGCCTAGGGTGTAACGGGTAGAGGAGAAGAGTTTGTACATCTTACCCCTTAGCTTCCATTGTGCTTCCTGGGAGGAAGGAGTGTTTGGTTTTAAGTCCACTTTCCAGCTTTTCTGGGTCTAAGCAAAGAAAAGATAAAATAGGGGGCATTGGGAATTACTGGAGAACAAAGGCACATTATCATCATCATCACCACCTTTGTTGTCATCATCATTGTTGCGACCATCATCCCGGGCACTTCTGAGATTCCCACTTGTGGTGACACTATTCCATGCTGGGCAGAGTCACCTGGGTCAACATGGCCTCAACCTTTGTTCTAAAGTTGCGCACATAACAGAGGACTTTTGCATGAAGGACCCACTCCAGTGGGCATTCAAGATGCTTTAGGGCTCTAGGCACACCTATAGGGCCAGCCGTGAGTTTTGCTAGTCCCACCCACCTCTCACTCCATGAGTGCGAGCCTTTCCTTTCTCTCATACAGATGAGGACACATCAGTGGCTCATGATACCAGAGCTGAAAGCTACTGCTTTGGGATTTACAACCCAAAAGAATTAATAATGCAGATAAAAATCCTGGCAACATGCAGAGAGTAAGATCATTATTATTATTTTTTAAGTGACTAGAACCATTGAGCAGTTCTATTACGTGCTGGTCAGAAGCAGGCGCCTACGGGAAAGAAAGAATGGGCAAACATAGGTACTTCTCGGAATATGAAAAATGTCACTTCTTCTCAAATAATTCCAGAAATGCCTATTTGTGAATATGTACTCCATGTTCTTAGACTGATTGATAATCTTTGGCATCAGTGACTGAGTCACTCCAAAAATTGCTGGGTGTGTGTTTATATTAAAATAAACAAAATTCATTTCCCTACCACCATTGTACCTTACTCTTCTTACTTCTTATTTAAGTACAAGTTAGCCGGCGGGGAGGGAAGAAAAGATTTGTCGTATTTGCCTTATTAAAATGTCGGATTTATCCATTTAAAAATTATTTGCATAAGTATAGAATAACATTCACGGGTTTGGTGCAGTGCCCTTTGCACTGTATGCAATTAATGAATCCTTAAAAAATTATAAATAATAAAATTAAAGCAAGTTTCTCATTGGGAGTCAGTCTGTTTTGGTACAATAACTATATTTGATGTAACTGTTTTACAGGATTTTTTTCTAACGTATCTTCACTCCCAGCTAAACCCACTGTACCACAAACAAAATGGGGAATATGAGTTCCATAAAAATTGGAACTGAAACAGAAAATCTATGCAGCATGGAGTAAAAACGTCATAAATAAATGGTTTTTATTCAGCTTGGTTTTTTTTTTTCCTGTGCCGTGGGTCAAAGAAGAGGCTGTTATCAGGTAGAGACAGAAACCCGTCATTTGTGTTGATGGTAGAAGCGTGGAAAGTGGGAATTGCTTTTCTGCTCTTGAGACAGACAGAGCCTTCTCCTCATGGCTACCCTCGCTGCTGTCACTCTGTGGTAAATCCTACTTCCCAGTGCCCAGAGGGAGACGTTGGCCTTAAGGGGGGGTGGTGCCACTTGTTGGTAATGTTGGTAATGTCTCTGAACTCTGACCTCTGATTTACCTATCCTGTGACACCTGTTACAATGAGGGGATACAACATGCACCTCAGTGGCATAAAGATTATTTCAAGCTAAAAACACCTGAGTAAACAGCTGCTACAGAAAGAAACCTTGTCAGGGCATCTGGGTGGCTTAGTTGGTTGCACATCCAACTCTTGATTTCGGCTCAGGTCATGATCTCAGGGTGGTGAGATCGAGTTCTGCGTTGGGCTCCTCGCTTAGCACGGAGTCTCCTGGAGATTCTCTCCTTCCCCTTTCTCCCCTGCCCTCTCACTCTCTCTCTAAAAAAAAGAGAGAGAGAGAAACCTTAACTTAAGCAGGACCTCCCAAAAAACACAGCTCGTAAGTTTCCTCTCCAGGAGATTCGCAGCCAGAAAGCAGTCTAACATTATCGCCTAGATGAGTAATTGCTTAACAAACTTTATCTGAAACTGTCATATCTTCCATCTGTTTTCCCCAGAAGCCCCTTCTCCCCACTCCCTTCTTTCCATTTAGTATGTATCCCCTGCTGGTTCTGGGAGCCATTTGACCTACAGGCTCCTGTGAATGTAAATACACTTCTCCTCTTTTCTCCTGATACTCTGTACTCAGGTTAGAAGAAGAAAAGTTTTTCCTCCCAGCAGCAACATGACCTCACTTAGCCCTTACAATAACCCTATTGTATTTCCATTTGCCAGGTGAGAAAACAGAGCCTCAGAGAGGTTCCGACATTTTTCCTAGGGTCACACAGCAGTTAAATGGCAGAGATGGGGTTTAAATGCTCATGACTTGATAAAAAAAAAAAATGCTCATGACTTGAAAAAGGAAAAATGCCGCGAATTTTTCGTGTGTGCTAAGTACCCAATGATGGCGTCCTGGGATAGTCAGGTGATTGGTTCTAGTTCCCTCTTTTCTTTGGATGTTTGCAGACATGAGGGCAGAGCTGCAGCACCCAGTTGGAGCCAGTTGGGCCCAAGACAACTCGGTGAGAGGTTTCGGAAGGAGCTCACCTGAAGTATAAGCACCGAGTGAGCGTTGTGTGTTGTGTGCCTGTGGTCAGAGTGCAAAGTGAGACAGAAGACAGGTGCCACACGTGAGTATGGTCAGGCACCAGCTTCGAGGCCCAGAGCTCCCCCTGAGAAATTGTTCTTGAACCCACAGTTCGCAACCTTATTCTCACCATGACACCCAACGCAGATGAGGTGCTTAGACACCAAACCCCGAGAAGAGGAGCCGTGAAGTGATTTCCTGTTCTTCCTGGCCCATTAGTAACCCCCTCCATCCTCAGTCTCTCCCCTAGGGCAGCTCATTGCAATGGAGAGGAGTGAGAAAGATGTTATTTTAAGAATAACCATTAATGGGCTCACATGTATTTCATAATAATAATGGTTGCTACGAATACAACTAGAACTTTATTGGTAGTATTGTGTTGTGACACATATTCTGCCACTTACCCCGACACCCCAGGTTGTCTCAGCTAACTGGATTATAGGAAACCAGTAGTTTGGTCCGCCAGGAGAGTGCTTATTTGCACTGGGACTGATCCAGTGCTCTAAAAAAGAATGAGCAGCCACGTAGTGTGGCCCTCATGCCTCCTCTCCTCACCTTACCTGCGTTTCTCAGGTCTGATCTCTCCAGGCTTCTTCGAGCTCTTTCTCCTTCCCACCCTGGCACGCAAAGATGAACCACCAGCGTGGAGATGCACCACTGTGCATAGAGCTCTCACCTGCTTTGCTGGTCTTGAATATGGAGGAAAAATTACAGCCCACAAAATGAAGTTACTGAGCTACCAACGTATACCTGTGAAACAAAGATCAGATTTCAGTAATAAGGAGGGAAACTTGGGACCAAGTCTTAAACGGAGCAACGGCTTCCATGGCCCTTGGGGCTGCCTCTGCACAGGCAGTTAATCATCTGCCTGAACAATCCAATCAATACCCATGACCTTTCCTTCAGCAGTCTTTCTCCTGCCGTTTCTCCTCTCCTCGTGCAGTCAAAAGGAAGATAATGGGATCATTTCCTTTAGAAAATAAACATGAATATGAACCCAGTTCATAAACTATTTGTTATTAAAATGAAATCCCCTAGGGAAATTATGTTTAGATACCAAAATTATAAGGCTGATATTTGACATTATTTATGGTTTATAGCATCCTCACATGTGTCTGTCGATCTGATCTATTATAGTTTCTATTACATTGTCTCATAGAGAATGCAGAATAAATTTCTTCTGGAAGAAGCAAAGTGTTCATTTGTGTATCCTGGATGCGCTGGGATGGGAAGGGTAAGTTAGCTGATTAAATTTTCACAAGTCAGTTCACTGAGCAAAATATCTAGTATCCTCCAGAGCATATTAGAGTAATATTGCTATCGACCTGTCCTGAAATTAAACTCAAAATACTCAAAACTTGGGTGATTTTCTAAAGTTCTTTGATATCCTCGAAAACTGAAATAGACTCTGTTAGATAGTTGTTTCTCAGACCCATCAAGAATTCATTATACCTGCAAAGAGGCCACACTGTTGGCCTTCTCAAGTTTCTCTTCGAAGAAACAATAAACAATCCCTCCCTGAAGAGAGGTTAAGAATGAGTTTGCCTCTCAAGTTCAAAGGAGATGGGAAGTGTGAGGTGAGGTCAGGGAGCACTATGGCAAAGTCGGTGGCTGACCTTGAAACCCATCCAACAGATATGTGTCAATGTTGACTGCACTTAAAAGACAGAAATCCCAAGCCTACAGGTCCTCAAATTTCAGGGAAATTGAAGCGCCTTCCTTATTTGCCTTTGGCAATTCGCTGTTTTAATAGCAGCATGAAACTTTCCTATGACTAAAATTTTCTTGGCCATGAACACCCATGGCTGAGTGGATGATCTTCTGTTCAAACAGGCTGGTCATCTATTTTGTGATTTTCCAGGTGTTTTCCTCGAGGAAACCTTCCTTGCACTTCCATCAGGGACCGCATTTCCTAACACTTGGGGCTCACCTCTAAGCACTCACGACATCATCCTGGGATTATCAGTCCACGGGGTGAGTTTTTTGGTGAAAGATCCCTCCGTTGGCAGTGCAGTGGGAGGGAGCCTAATGAGGAGACCAGATAGAAAGCTCTTCCAACAGAGTGAAATGATGAGGCTCGGCACTGAGACAGCAGTAGCATGTTGAGGAGAGGAGATGAGCAGCCCACTGAAGAGAAGTTTAGGACACAAAATCCACAGAGCTTAGTTACTGATTGCACGTGCAGATGTGAGGGCAAGGGAGGAACTTCAGATGAGGGATGTGTGCCAGTGCCACACACTGAGGTAGGGAATACGGAGAATATAGAACTTTCAGGGTTGAGGCCCTTAAATGGGTTGAGAGTTGGACATACTGAGCTTGACACTTCATGAGACTGGGATAGACATGGGAAGCAAGCAATTGAGTATAGGACTGAAATTCAAAGACAGGTTAGGACTGAAAATGTAGACGGGAGCTTTGTGCTCACGATGGAGGTGTACCCTCGGGTAGATACTGCTCAGGTCTCCCGTCCAGAGACCCTGCTGTGATGAACGCAGTTGGCAGAGAGCCTTCTGCTCTTCACTGCTGCCCACTGCAGCTCTCCCTGAGCCCCACCTCCCGGGGCCACTCCTGCCCCTGGTGACTGAGCACAGGACAGCCTGGGGGATTTCTCCAACATAGCCTCTCTCAGGGCCGCACTGCAATCCGAAGCTCTCCCAACCCGACCCTCCTCTGTCCTCACTCTCCTCGCACAAATGCACGGTTGACATGAGGGTCCCAAGGCTCTCCCTCTCTCCTTTACCCCTTACAGGCATTTCTCCCAAGTAAGTGTCACCTACATCCAGTTCCAGTTTGGTGTCTGCTTCTTGGTCTGAACCGACCTGGGAGCCATCCATATGTAGGCAGGCAATCATTAAAACCTGGAAATAAATTAGATCTATCTGGGAGAACCTACCGGTGAGATCAAGATAAATGAAGTGTCAAAATTAATCAAAAGGGTTGAGGGGAAAGCTAACATTTGGGTCCTGAAAGGAGGGGCTCCTGGGGCTGGGCTCCCTGGGTTAGACTCAGTCCCCAGCCTTTACTAGTGTGTCACTCTGGTCAGATGGCTTAGCGTTTCTAAGCCTCACATTTGTTGTGAATAAAAGGGGGAGATATTAGTACTCATTAAAGTTTGCTGTGAAGACTAAAATACACTAATTTAGGTAAAGTGCACAGAAAACTACCCCCACTGAGGTTCAAATCATCAGGCATAATGGGCGAGGAGCCTCTGGAGTCGCTGGGAATGGCCAGGGCAGAAAGGGGAGGACCAACATCGTAAACCACAAAGCCAAGGGAGTAGCAGTTTTCAGAAAGAAAGCAGTCTCAAAAGTCATAGAGCTATGAAGAATAAAGTGAAATAAAATTCAGTAGGCTTGGAAATGAATGATAATTTTGGCAAGAACTCTCTCAGTGGCATAAGGAAGACAAGCCAGAGGATGGTGGCTTGAGAAGTGAACAGTGGATGAGAAAGTGAGCAATCTCCAGTCCTTCCAGAAGCTTTGAAGTAGGGAAGAGGGGGCCATGCTCAAGAGTGGGGCTCATGAGCCCAGGAGGAGGAGGATCAAGCTTCTTTATACACAGAAAGTAAAGTACCTGAGGACAGGAGGAGAAAGAAGTTTTGGGTGGCAAGAGATCCTTAACTGGGAAGGAATGGGCTCCAGAACACAGAATGACGAGTTAATCTGGTCAGCCAGAAAGGTAGTGATGCTCTGAGACCATCTAAGTAAAGATGAGAACAGATCGAGAGTTCAGAAGACAGGAACGTGAAGGTGTTCCCAAGCATGACCTCTGTTTCTTTCTGAAGAAGTCCCCAAAGTTGCATCTGGTTTTTTTTTTTAAGATTTTATTTATTTGAGAGAGAGAGAATGAGAGAGAGAGAGAAGCACATGAGAGGGGGGGAGGGTCAGAGGGAGAAGCAGACTCCCCGCCGAGCAGGGAGCCTGATGCGGGACTCGATCCAGGGACTCCAGGATCATGACCTGAGCCGAAGGCAGTCGCTTAACCAACTGAGCCACCCAGGTGCCCCCCAAAGTTGCATCTGTTAAAGGTGAAGAAGGCAGAGGAGGGGAAGGCAACTTGAAGAAGGTGGGAAAATTCCATTAATATGTTTGTCCCGGCGTGCCTGGGTGGCACAATTAAGCGTCTGATTCTTAGTTTCAGCTCAAGTCATGATCTCAGGGTCCTGAGATGGAGCCCCTCATCGGACTCTACCCTCAGCACAAAGTCTGCTTGAGATTCTCTCTCCCTCTCCCTCTGCCCCTCCCATTCATGCTCTTTCTCGAGTGCGTGCTCTCTCTCTCAAATAAATAAATAAATCTTTAAAATATATATGTATTTGTTTGTCCCTTCTCCCCTAGCAGTGACAGGAGACCACATTTACTGAGTACCTCCCCTATATGGGCCCTAGGCTGGGAACTTTCACATAGCTGCTGTCCTTAATCTCCACCATCATCCTGTGAGGTAGGCATCATTATTCCCATTTCACAGATGAGGAAAGCTGAAGCCCAAAGAGATTGAGACATGGGTCTAAGACGCACAAGTTCTAGCAGAGTGCTTAGTACATATTTGTTGACTGAATGGACTGCATAGACCATGTTCCTTCGGATTTCTAGTTGGTGGCATACTTGTGTGATCTTTTTTCCAACAGTATGCTATTGAGAGTATTTACATTGTTAAGTCATGGATCAGTCAAAGCCTTCAAAAATGTCACAGTAATGAAAAATGCAAAAAGTGGCTGGACAAGGAAGTGCCTATGCTACTTTATTTACCCCAATACCGAAAAGCTACTTAAAAGATTATGACCGCTTGGGAAATGAGATTCGGTTGGACAAAAGCACTTGAAACTCCAGTTGCTAACATTTCCATCAAGGACCTCCCTGAGAATCAGAATCGATGTGTGGATTGTTTTAGTTTTGATAATAATATCTGGATGAAAATGCCTGCCAAAACATTTCACTGGAGGATTTGGAGTATGCTTTCCAAGTCTACAGCTGAAGGGCGGCCACTGATGTCAATGTGTGCCCGTTGGCATCCCCCCAGCTCATCTGGCTGAATAAAACCAAGCAACTGTGTCTTCACGAAGCCTGTGTATTCTTGATACTTTAGAGTCAAAGCCTAATTTGTGTTCTTCTTGTAATCATGCAAGTCAAAAAGAGATTGGTTCAAAAAATAATTTGAGGTAAGGAATAGATCACTAGACTCTAAGTTCCTTATGGACAGGGATTGGGTCTGATTTAAATTTTTGATATTTGTTTTAGAGGATTAACACAATGCTTGGCACACAACATGTGCTACATAAATTCTTGCTGGATTAGGTTGAAGTGCATCATCAACCCTGCAGACAACAGAGCGGGCAGGGATCAGTGAAGCATTTAAATCTGTTTCCGCTTTCTTCTAGAGTGGAGCACAGAACTGTCACACAAAGATGCTGTGTCCATGAACATTCTAATTCATTATTGAGGTTCAAAATGAATTATTAATCCCTGAGAATAATCCACAGCCAAGGTTGTCTGTCACTGTAGCCAGAGGAGAAAGAGTAATCTTTCTCACTTGTATCCTTTTTTTCCTCTTCAAGTCTCTTTTTGCAGCTCTTTGGAGCTACAGTTCTAATTCTCATTCTATCCCTGATTTACTGTTTGACCTCAAAATGAGTCACTTAATCTCAGTTAATAGCTTAAGTTTCTCCTTCAGTGAGAGCCAAAGGGACCTGGCTACACAGTTAGTAAATAACAAGCCTCAAAAATTGGATGTGTTTTTCGGTGCCATCCATCATCTCTGTAAGGCTAGTGGAAATGAATCGTAAATACAAAGCCCCATTCGAACTCCCTCACTCCTCCCAAATTAGCCCGTGGAGGTTGCTCAGTCACTGTGTCGTGTAGTAAGGGGAGAAAGGTAAGGAAGCCGGGGCTGGTTGCCCCAAACCCAAAAGAGAAGATGCCCTGGAAACGGAGGGCAACAAGGGAGAAGCTCTGCTCACTGGTCGGAGTGACTGTGATCTCCTAATCAACAACTCACCATCTTGAAAAAGAATAAGGTAGTACATATTTGTTAGCCTTCCAAAAGCCTCTGCTTTTGGAAAATAAAGGAAAAAGACAGCTGTGCACCCCAGTCCCCCATGTTTAAAGTGAAATAAGATCCAAGTTTACACGGTAAATCAATTATGTTGTAATTATTCACATTTT